AGAAATATTTTATTATGGTAGATGCAGGTGCAAAATATAAATTGCCAACAGGTATCAGGTCTATCAACAAAAATAGCTTTGGATAAAATAAAAGATTTTGTAAGTAAATATGGATTAATGAAGACTTTAGTATCCGATGGTGGTCCATTCAGAGGCAGAACATTTGATAAGTTATGTGATAGATGAAAAATTGAACATTTATTATCTCCACCACATTATCCAAGAAGTAATGGACAAGCTGAACGAATGGTAGCTATAGTGAAAAATTGGTTAAAAAAAGAAAAATACGGAGAGGGAAAATGGTGGTTATTATTATTAGCATATAACAATACTAAGACTAGCAAAGGGAATTCACCAGCAGAGATGTTTTTAGGTAGAAAAACAAGAACTGAAATAGATTTTTTGAAAGAAAAAATAAAACAAAAGGATTATACATATGAGGAGAAATTTAAAGTTGGAAGTTTAGTATGGATTCTACTTTTTGATGGTCCAATTAAATGGGGGAAGGATATAGTAAGTAAGAATATAGGAAGGAAAAAGGTAGAAATAGAAATTGAAGGACAAGAAGGAACATATGCAAGGCATATTAAGCAATTAAGACCTAGGTGTGTAGGTTAGGAACGATGAGTCTTAAAATTGATGATAAACATAATGGATTTGTTTGGTATATTAAGTGATAATTATGAGAATCTTAATTTTAAGTGTTGATGATAGACATAATTAATTTGTTTTAACAAGTTGGGTTAAATTATGAGAATCATAACTGAGGGTATTTGAAAATCGATGATAAACATAATACATTTGTTTTAGGTATAACAAGTGATAATTATGAGAATCATAATTTTGTGTTTTAAAATTGATGATAAATATAATTAATATGTTGATGAACAAGTGACAATTATGAGAATAATAATTTTAAATGTTAAAGATATACATAATGGATTAGTTTTGGTGTTAACAAAACTGAAAGAATTATGAGAATCATAGATGTGGAGAGTTTAAATTTTAAAAGAAAATCAGATTTAAGTGTATAAATAATATGTGGTATGATTATAGGGTAATATATATACGTATAGTTTAATTCTGTTTTAGATGGCTTCCTATTTTAAAGTAGGAAATAGGATTATAAAAATAGAGATTAGAGAAATCAATGGTTCAGTAGAATCTAGGAATTGGTTAAATGCAGCAAGGGAAGAAACTCAACATAGATATGGAGAGATTCTACAGGAACCCACAAAACGAATGATGGTCGATAAAAGATGGTACTCAGACATGGTGAAATAAAAACTAGAATGCTGGTTATGTGGAGGAAACCACATGATGTGCGTGCGCCTGAATATTTATGTGACTAATAATAATGCTTTATTATCATTATCGGCAGAAACAGGAGACAATAATACAATTCTAGATAAGGACTCAGGAAGAGGTGGAGGACTTCCTTAAGTGCGGGGGTGTTGTATTATGCAAATGATTATTTTTAATATTTAAGCAAAAAAGAAAATATATTTGAAAAAGATAAGTTCAAGCATAGATGATTATTCAAAATTAAGAAAAGTATTATATTTTAGGAATTGTTATATGAACAAGTATAGAAATTATATTTTGTAATATTATTATTCAAATTGAAAAGATTATATTTTATTCATAGATATATAAAGCAGAAAAAAATCAGAAAACGACCATTATGTTTTTTCTTATATACAAAACAATATCATTGATACAAAATCTAATTTTATAAATTTAGTAATCGATTGTATTTTACATTAATTAGATTCATTTTATATTATCTTTAAATAAATCAATTATTCTCAACCTAGTAGTCCTTCTCTAACATACACGACTATTAAAAATAACAATTAGTATAAATTTATTTATAGTTAAAATTAGCCTTTAATAATAAAAATTTTTCTAATTTATTATCATTTAAATATCCACGTCTTTCATTAAGCACATGTTTAGCTTTATTAAACAAGCGCTCCATATGAGCGCTTGATGGCAAATATTTTTTTAATTAGCATAAGTATTAAAAATATCTATTGAATCAGTTGCTTAGCTACGGGGGTGGTTTTCGGGTTTGGACCCCTCCCAGAGCAAAAATTTATTTTTAGATTATACGTTCAAAAGACTTATAAGTGGTGACTTTATATCAAATAAATACCAATAATATTTATATTTTTCTGGTTTTGATGTTTGTGAAAGAATATTATATTACTATTGAAACTATTCTGGATAGTATTATTATAAAGTCATTGAGAATAATCTACTAAATTATAAAACAAATTATTGATTAAAAATATATTTATTATATATTGTCGAAGATATGGTTATGATTTGTAAGATAAACCCAGCCGAAGGCCCGTTAAAGGGGGTCTGGGGGCGAAGCCCCCAGGCTTTTATATGTATGGACCCCTTCTAAGGAAAATTCCTAGCTACGCCACTGTATTGAATCATCATTTGAATAAAAAAAAATTATTAATAGAACAAGCATTTTGTGAAGAATTTTTCCCAAAAAATATATATTTCATCCATACATTTATTTGAAGCATCTGCTGCATGTGCTTGACCCTGCATATTTTCCAAATGGACAATTAACCTTTCTTTTACCAACAGATTTTGTTGCAGATTAATATAAGGCCAACATAGCTTAAATTTTGGGTGAATTAGTGCTGCCAATATGTTACTGTCATCACACAGTGAAGGAAATTTATATTAAGAAATGATAATTAATTTATTATTAAATAAGTGTTCATTCATATAAATCAGGTATCTGCAAAACTTAGCATTTTCAAATTTAACAGTCAGGCCTGGCCCATCATCTGTATCGTATTTATGGTCATAACATAAATATTGATCAAATTTAATATTTTTAGTCTTTTATGTTTAAAATACTAATCCTTGAAGATATTTTGTTCTTACATAAATATATTTTGCACCTATCATTGTATAGTTACTTCCATCCATTTCACATACAGAGTTGTGATGATTTAATGAAACATATTGACGATTAAATTTAAACCCATTCATATAAAATGATAATATTTGCAAAAATAATTAAAATATAGACAAAGCATTATTGAAATTTCTTTTATATTTCTTTTGTTGTACATTTGTAAAAATTATAATTATATATGCATGTGTTTAAATTAAATCGTCAATATGCTTCATTAAATCATCACAACACTGTAAAGTAAAATACATACGTAAATTATGAAATGGTAAAAGATACTCATTTTCACTTATATCTGCTGTCCATAGGCGTAGCTAGGGTTTTCCTAAGAAGGGAGGGAATTAAAAAATTAATGGGGTGCTTCACTCCAAGACCCCTTTTGGGCAGGCCTTTGGCCCCCTTTTGCCCGGCCTTCAACCGGGTTACCTTAATCTATATTATAGTTATAAAATATTTTTACAAGATAGGAGGTTAATTTTAATTTAAAAAAAGCCTGGAACAAATATGGAATATATTTTCATTAGTTTATATAAAATATAATGAATTACTTGTATATACATTAATATAAAAGCATGATAATAATTTATTCCAAACAAGTATAAGAAATTTATTTAAAAAAATTAGGGGTCATATAGTTGATATTCCTCTATTATATAAAATTAGTTACAAAAAACTAGGTAAAATTTCACTTATTTGACAGTTAGAGAATATATTACAGTTAATATTTTATCAAATTTTACTTCAATGCTCTTGATAATAAATATAGCAACAATTCGCATTTATTTATTTAACGCCTTATTTAAATAAAAAATGATATTAAAAATTAATCTTCATATTATTCATCCCACAATGTCTTTAAAAGATATTTTCTGATGTCCTTATCAATATTTTATAGTTTTCCGTAAAATATATAATTCGCTATATTGGTAAAAATTACTTGATTGTCATATGATAATTGATAAAATTAGATATACTGTAAATCTACGACATATAATATTCCACTGTTTGTATTGTGCTTTAATTTTTTTATTTAATTTATGATTTAATTTTATCAATAGTTTTATAATTATATTTTACTTTTATGAATAAATTAAAATTACTCACTTTATAAAAAATTATATTTAATATATAGCTTAAAATGATATTCACAAAAAGTGATAAATTTCTGAAGGGGGAGGGGAATTTCCCCTTCCCCCCTTCCCCCCACTGGCTACGCCTATATCGGTATATGATGTATTATATCTTTTAAATCTAAAAGGGACGACATTATTAAAACCTAAATTTATTTATATTATATAAAATATAATTAAATAAATAAAACTTGAAGGCTATAAATCACGTTTTAGATAAAATTTAGGAAAATAGAAATATATAATATGGTGCAATGGAATTCGATGAAATATGATGTAGATAGATATTTTTTTAAAAAATAATATTTTAATTTAATTTTCACAATTTTTATTTTATTATTGCTTTTTAAGTAAAAGATAAATTTGTATAAGGATCGGGATCGATTAAAAAAAAATGATCTCGATCACGATTACGATTCTCAATTTAAATCAGGATCATAAATCCAGGAAAATTGACAAATTTAGGATTGAATCCAGGTTCGGCGATCTTTTGATTTGATCTTTAACAAACAACTCTGCAAATAAATAACCGATATATAGGAAATCAATTCAAAAATATAAATAATTTATCTCAATTTAAACTCAAGAGATTACGCATTCTTTTTCTCCTAATTTTCCTTCTTGGCTACCCTATGAACTAAAAATATAAACTTGAATATCTAGGATAGATTTAAAATTTGAAATATAGGAGCGAAATTTATTTTAACTAAATTAAGTTTTAAAATAAAAATTAATTTTATCAATTATTGTAAGTTGAGCAATTTTATTTGCAAAATATCATGCCAACAACGTAAAGAATTTAATAAATTCACAAAAACTATCAACACTCTCAATAACTCTAATTTCGGTTAATTTAGTTAATCCCACTGACCAAAACCGCTAAATTTTCAAAATTCTGGTTGGATTTTATTAATATATTTTATATGGCACTCTGGGTTGATTATTATAGACCAAAATATTTTTCTGATTTAGATTATCATAAAGAAAAATCTCTTAAACTAAAAACTCTGGTTAAATATAATATAATTGTAATTTAATATAAATTTATTTCAAGATTGATTCTGGAGATTTCCCACATCTCTTATTTCATGGCCCATCTGGTGCAGGGAAAAAAACACGTATATCTTGTTTACTAAGGGAAATCTATGGGTTAAACGTTGATAAATTAAAATTAGAACAGTTCTCATTTACTACACCTTCCAATAAAAAATTAGAAATTGATACATTGTCTAGTAATTATCATATTGAATGCAATCCTAGGTATTTAACTATTATTCGTTTTAATTTAACCTTAAAATAAGTGAGGTTGGAATTTACGATAGAATTGTTATTCAAGAGCTAATTAAATCAACTGCTCAAACACAGCAATTAGATTTAGGAAAACAAAAATCATTCAAAGGTTTACATTAAATCTTCATATATATAAAATTATTATTATATAGTAATAGTTTTATCAGAAGTTAATAAATGCACTAAAGATGCACAATATGCTTTACGAAGGACTATGGAAAAATATATAACAACATGTAGAATGATATTGTGTACTAACTCACTAAGTAAAATTACACCTGCAATTAAGAGCCGGTGCTTATGTATTAGAATTTCATCACCTACCATAAATGAAGTTATTTATATTTCATTTTTTTTTTAATTGAAAATAAAAAACAAACAGATAAAAGATATTCTTTATAAAATAGCACAAAATGAAAATATTGAAATACCAGATGAATTTGCTATATCACTGGCAAAAAAATCTAATGGCAATCTAAGGAAATGTATACTTACTTTACAGGCTTGTAAAGTCCAAAAGTTATACCATTAATATAAAACATATTAATAATTATTTACAAGGTATCCATTTAAAAGTGCTCAACATATTGAATCTTTAGATTGGGAAATTTATATTGAAGAGACTGCAACTTTGATATTAAGTGAACAAACCCCTAAGAGGTAAGGTAATGTTTATTTTGCCATAGTTTTAGGTGGTAAATTTTCAGTTATTTATTGTAATCTAGATATTTAACAAATGTTGTTTTATTTTAAACTCATGATAGAAATGTAAAAATATCTGATGAAGGACATTTTTTAATTTTTATTAGTGATCTGCCTCTAATTTTACAGGCCTAGCTCAAAGTTATTTTGGAAAAAATTTTCAGGCCTGATCCAGAACAATTTTTTTAAATTTGATTTATTTAAATATAGAAAAAATTTATTATTTTTTAATTAATAAAGGAATATCCATGTTTCTTGCAAAATTTTTAAAATATATCAATTTATTTCCCAAAATTATATTATATTTAAAAATTTAAGCATGGCCTAGCCTGGTTCAAATTTTTAAAAAAATATAAGATCCAACCCTGACCAAGCCAATTTGTTTAAATATCTGGCTCGAAGCTTTGTACATCTCTAGCTCCTATTATTAATAGAGCTATAGATGTGACTTTAATTTCATTTTATTTTACATTACTTTGTAAGTAATACCATTACTAAAGTAACCCTTACCCACAACATTCATTTAAAAAAAATAATATCAAAGAATTGATTATTTGATTCATATTCGTTTTTGAATAGACAGAATAACAAGTATAGTTGGGTAGTAGCTAATTTTTTTTGGCTGAGGCTAAGCCTAAGTCTAATTTTTTGGCTACCAATTTATTTGCTTATCCTGAGCTGATATTTTGGCTAAGAAAGTTCTAAAATGTTGAATATGACAATTGTCACCCTTCTGAATTACATTATTATTGAATCCACTAAAACAAATTTTTTATTACCTATTTTCATTAAAAACAATGGAAAAGTTTTATAATGACAAATACAAAAATTATATTTAATTTTCAATATAGCAGATTTAAAATTCATTTTTACCTAATTTCATAAAAAAAATATTGGAAATTTTAAAATGATGATTATGACAATTGTCACCATTCTGAATTAAATTATTATAAAATTTACAGTAAAGCAGGCTAGCCAATCAAAATCGGCTTAAACTTAGTATTAAACTAAAAAAGAAATTTCTAGGCTGAAATAATTACCCAATATAGCAGCAATTAATAATAAAAAGCATCAACATTACTTTGTATTGTGTTGTGTTAGTATAGGGAACAAATTATTGATTCATTTTAACGTTTGGTATATAGAATAATCTTTTTAACATTTTTTAGATAAAATATACACTATTTTACTTGCAAATTATCAATAATTTTTTTTCTTATATTTATTATCAGATTGCTAGAAGTAAGGGATAGACTTTATGAATTACTTGTTCATTGCATACCTTCAGAAATAATAATTAGGGTAATTTATTTTAAACTACTACTTTTTATTTATAATATTTAAAAATTTCAGGAATTGTTAAAGCATTTAATTTTGAGCTGTGATGATTTAACAAAAGAAGAAACAATCAAATGGGCTGCTTTTTATGAACATCGATTGCAAAAAGGAAATAAAGCTATATTTCATTTGGAAGCATTTGTTGCAAAGTTTATGAGTTATTATAAAAAATTTATAGAGTCTTCATTTTTTGCTTAAATCTCTTTAAATTGATGATATAAAAATAATATGTTTTATTAAAAAATAATATTTGTAAATATAAGCCTGTATATATCTTTTTATATATAAATTGATTTATAAATGATCGTTTTATATAAAGGGCATCTTATGTTCCTTGTAGACTTCTAGTTGTTCTCACCTCAGGTAATATAATAAAGTTTAATTGTAACATCTATATATATTAAATTCAATCCAAAGTTAGGAATACCTCTATTTTATCCAAGGAAAAATTTTTATTTTTAACCTTGGATTCATTAATGGCTTGCGCTTTTATATTTAAAGTAAATAATTTAATTAGAATTTGGTAAAATATATCTTTAGATGTTAACTCCAACTTCTTATTTACTATTTCAAAATAGCTCAGTTACATTTTAATTTGTATTTACAGCAATGGCTATTCTAAGCCACAAAACAGATGCACTAATAGGGCTGTGCCAATATTTAATATTTTTGTAATGTTTAAAAAAATAGTTTAAAATTTTACACAATTTTTTGTTTCATTATCTGCAAAAAGGCAAGGATCTTAAAACATTTAACGAGTCACATTCAGTTGGTGTTTCTAAACGGCTCGATTTATCCAAGAATAAATTATTCATGCTTATTGATTTTTCCCACAGATATCAATAAGGTTTGGACTTCTATTGGCGAAATTTCGAGGCATATAGGCAATAATATTTTTGTTAAAATTTTGTTTGGCCCTTTTTTAAAATCGTCTAAATGAAGCTGTTTAACAAAATTACATTCACCCATAAACATTGCAAATATTTTGAATAGTATTTAACTTATGAAAAATATTCATTCATGAAAGTTAGTTAGTTTTTTTAAAGTAGAAAATATTGATATATTTATGACATTGACACAAAGATAGATGGTAAATAAAAATCAATATAAATATCAGAGTCGGATCGGTTTTTTTAGAATATCAGAAAATATCGGATCGGTGTAAAATTTGTGGATCGACACAGCCCTATGTTACTAATAACTTTATTTTATTTATATTGATATTAAAAATTTTTAATCCAAAAACTTTTTTTAAAGAAATTTTGTGGAAAATTGAAAGTATAGGTCTATACTAGGCCTATTCAAAAACGAATTCGAATCGAATAGTGCATTAAACGAATCGAATAATTTACTATTTGAATTCGTACGAATAATAAAATCTACTATTTGTATTCGATTCGAATTAATATAATAAATCATACTCAAATATATTGACAAATTTCTTCATTACAAATTTGATTTTGAACAGAAAAAATTATAATAATATGTAATCAATAATCTGATAATAAATAATATATAATCAAGTTATAAACAAAATTAAAATGTATATTATTAATTTAATTTATAATTTAAGCCAATTTTTAAGGCAAAGAGTTTTTCTTATATTTTCTTCCTTATATGACATGCGGTTTTTTGACAATAATTTAGTTCAAAATGAGAAAAGCCTTTCACAAGCAGTTGATGTTCCTTGTATAGATAGATAATCCCTTGCCATTTTCGAGAGTATGGGGATCCGATATGCATTTGCCTTCCACCACATTAACGGGTCAGTATCACTCTTTGCTCTTGGTTCACCCAGATAAAAATCTATTTCACACAGTTGAATATTATTTTGTTTAAAAACAATGTCTAGCCTGTTTTGTTGAATTTTATCCTTATTTGTTTGACAGTTATAATTATGAGCTTATAAAATAAAATCATATTTAAATGGGGGTAAATTAAATACCTGTATATCTATTGTAAATCTCGTTAAATTTGTCCATTAACTTGGATATATCAATATCATAATCAACAGATATTGATTTAAAATATTCTACTTTAAGCCTGGGATCTAATATTGTGGTTATTATTGCATCATCGGCAGTTAAATTATAATAGCCCAACAATTTATCACATGCTACTTTGAAACTATTGTTAAAGGATTTATGGAAACCAGGTTTTTTATTTTTTTAGATGTTCAAGAATTAAAATATAATAAGGTATAACCAAATTATAAGTAGGATAATTCTCCCCATATACCATATTTGTAGTTTCATATAAAGGCAATAGGATAGCTTTAATTTTTATAAGATCCTCCCATTCTTCCTATATGTTATCAAAGTATTATATTATTACCTAATTATAAATTTTAGTTTACCTCTGATATTTGTTTTTCTTGATGAATTTTAATGTTAGTTATTACTTCATTAACTAATTTTGTTATAGCAGGCTTTAACAATAAGCCCCTTTCAATCATTTGATAGGTGCTATTCTACCTTATTTCACAATCCAATTTTGGTTTTAAAAAATTTTGGGGAGCGTGTAGGGAACTACATATATTTTTTAATAAATTTAATTTTTTAGGGGAATTACGAATCATTCTAATAATGTTTCTTAGTTTTAGAATTGAAGGATCTAAAATTTTTAAAATTTCTTTCGATATTAAATTAATTACATGGGCAAAGCATCGGATGTGCCCTATTTTTATTCATGGATATTTCAAAGAAAATGTATCAATAAATGTTTTATTATTAGTTGCATTATCTAAAGTTATATAAAAATTTTATTCTCTAAATTATAATTTTTAATTATTTTAACAAAGGCTTTAAATATATTTTCACCTGAATGTGTTTCATTTATTGGGCTGACATCCAAAATTATGTTATTTATTTTAAAATTATCTTCAATAAAATGGGCTGTTAGCCCTAAAAAAGGAACCTGTGTTGGGCTAGTCCAAATGTCAGATGAAAAATTAATCTGACTTTTATTTTTAGATATTATTTCCTTTACCAACTGTTCTTTTTCTGCGAATGTATTATACATGTGCAATTTAAGAGTGGAGCATAATGATTTTACAGAACAATCAAGATCACTTATAAAATTTTAAAAATCATTTGAATTAATAATTTTAAAAGGTATATTATTATTTATAAATAATTTTAATAAATTATCCTTAAAATTAATTTTTTTTTGAAGAATTTGGTGTAGACTATAAAAAAATGTCAATTTTATTCTTTGTTTTATAAAGGTGTGAATGAAACCTATTATAATGATTATTAAGAGATGTTGGCCTTTACATTTTATAATACTGTTGCAATGATTGCATGCGCCTTTTCACCGTCTTTAAGGATTTGATATTGATCCCATATGATTGCTCACTTTTGTGAGGAAATTTTCTCATCTTCAACATCAAGCATAATTTTATCAGAAGCATTCTCCTCTAACATAATTAGGCTAGCTAACAATAATTATTGTAGAGATGTAATATATTTTTATATACCTCTGGTTTATGTAATTTTTAATATAATTTATTATGAGATTCAAAAAATAAACTTTTCGTGAGATTCGAAAAATGTGGCAAATAAAAATTTAAATTTTCACTAGAAATTTTTGAATTTGTGCTAGAATTTTTATAAACACAAACACATCACCTGTCAGATTGGCAGGTCAACAAATAGAAATGACAAATGTTAGATTTAATAAACAATTTATTAAATATTACGAATAATTCGTTTTATTCGAATCGAATAAATGATTATTCGTATTCAGATGAAACAAATAATTTATTATTCGTATTCGTAATTATTCGATTAGATTCGAATTATTTTTGAATAGGCCATACGGTGATACCATTTATGTGATCTTATGTGAATCCACGCTCCATCTTTTAGAATTCTTTTTAAGTTGGAAACTGACAATTATAAAATTTATTAGCACTCGCTGTAGCAATATCCCTTTTGGGCGAGTAAAACTTAAGTTCTATACCACAGAACCAATTATCAAAACACAATTTAAAATTGGAATGTAGTGGTACCAATAGTTGAAATACCATATTTCCTTTAGAATCAACTTTGATCTTGAATCAAGAATTTCTTCATCTGATGAGCCACTATGATTTGAATCAGAACTATCTTCTGGAATACAGTACATTTTGCCTATAGATAGCGAATAAAGAACATTTATTAATATAAAAAAATAATCAAAAAAGCCCTACCTTAAAATTTAAACACTATTAATGAATATAACAATCTATTATATATAAAACATTTCTTTTGCCTTTATTTAATAGGATTTTTAACTACCTGTTCCTTAAAAATTTGCACAAGAGAAATGACATAATTTATAAAATGGAAAAAATGCCACTATTCGAAAGTTGTAAACTATGTATTTTAGAATTTTTATATTGATAGCTGTCTTTCATTTTTGACAAAATTAACTATAGAAATAAATAAAAATGTGTATCTATTATACATCATGTGTATTAAACTGTAAAAAATTTCATATTATTTATTCCTTTTTATGGTATGTGTATTCAAATATGATATATGTAATAGAGGGTTAAAGCCTACCATTCACAGAGTTATATGTGTTATCACAAAATATTGAGTTTTTTAGCTCATCTAAATTTAAACTCGCAGCTTAACGAGCTGTTGCAAAAATTTCGGAATATAATGGTGGATAAATTTTAAATAGATTTATTCCACCAAATTCCGACATTTTTGGGCCCAAAATTTCAAGATATGAAAATTTTATCCCGAGAACATTATAAAAATTTGTGCGAACATATTAACACGTTGATGAATGCTGAGACGATCAATAGATATGATTGGACAAAAATCTATAAATACCAACTCACCATATTCATTAAATTAATAATAAAATTATCAATTAAAAAATAACAAAGTAAATATATATCTTTTAAAATTATTATTATATTATGAATATATTTTTTCTTAAGGAATAAGCAGATACGTTTTTGGATTTCTCTCTATGGGAGGCTGACAATGCGTTTTCTGTTGCTAGCGTTGAAGCTGGCGAACTTCAAAGATACCTAGATGCTAAATTGTATATTGAAAATGATAATATTTTAAATTGGTGGAAGACAAACCATAATGACTTTCCAAATTAGTGGGCTCGGGTCGGGTTGTGCTCGGGCTGCGAAAAAATCACTTTGCAGACTTCTAATTTTACTATCAATTTTATTTCCAAACAAAGGATAA